TAAATAATACGGTTCGTATGATGGTTTATGATATACTTTTGTAAACAAATAAGCATTAATATTTTCTATATATATGTCTAGAAAATTTATCGAATGACCGGCTTGAGCTTTTAGTTCACTATTTGAGTCAAAAGTATTCCATTGATCAATTTGTTTATTTAAATGTCTAGAAGGCCAATTTACAGTAATAAATATATCATCAATATAACGTAAGTATAGAACCACCATTAGTAATTTGTTTAACGATATCTCTTTCAAAAAAGAACATGTAACAATTTGCAATAGTGAGTGTTAACGGTGAACTCATAGCACCACCACGAATTTGATGATAATATTGACCTTCGTAAGAAAAATAATTCTTTTTTATAACGAATCGACTTAATCTAATTATTGTTTCAACTTTTAAATCACCAATTTGTTTTAATTTAGGGTGTGGGTGTGGGTGTGGGTGTGGGCTTGAGGAGTGGGTAAAAGACAGAGTAGAATACTCTCACCCACGCCCACACCCTAAAGAATAACGATTAAATGTGTATGTAATGCTAATATGAATAAAACTAATAATTGTATAGCACCATATCAAGTTATACCTAAATCTTGTCGAATTTTGACGTTTTCAGATTTACGAAGAATAATATCTGATTGATGCAAAAGTGTCCGCCGATTTTCTTAAAATTTTTTTATAGCCATTTAGCAGTATTATGCACGCGTGATTTTTGCACATATGCTACCACTTGTGTCGTACTATCAAATGACATCAAACAATGTTCCAATTTATTTACATTTTAGATTAAAATATGTCAGAGATTCCTATCCATATTCGACACTGCATTTTGTACGAGTTTCAATTAGGAAACAACGCAACCGCTGCTGCCCGTAATATCTGTGCTGCACTTGGCGAAGGGTTAGTTGCTGATCGCACCTGCCGAGATTGGTTTAAAAGCTTTCATGAAGGTGACATGTCATTGGAAGATCGACCGAAGTCTGGACGTCCAGTCGAATCTGATATTGAACGTTTAAAAGTCCTGATCGGAGACAATCCATGATTAACTACTCGCGAATTGTCAACAATGCTCGGGTGCAACCAATCCACCATCGGTCACCATTTGCATGAAATAGGAAAAGTTAATAAACTTGGAACATGGGTTTCTCATCAACTAACATCGGACAACATACAGCAAAGAATCACCATATGCAAATTTTGTTGTCAAAGCGCAACCGACACAGATTTCTCCAGCAGATTGTCACTGGTGATGAAAAGTGGGTACTATATGTCAATCATACACGCAAGTACCAATGGATAAATCCCGAAGACTTGCCTGAACCTGAACCGAAAAACGACCTGCAGCGGAAAAAATTATGCTCTCGATTTGGTGGGATTTTCAAGGAGTTATTTACTGGGAACTTCTACCTCCTAACGCCACGATAGACTCACAGCTGTACTGCAAGCAAATTGAAAATTTGAAGGTCGCACTACAAGCCAATCGTCCAGAAAAACGAAAAGTTCGTCTACTTCATGACAATGCCAGACCACATACTGCAAAGATTACCCGTCAGAAGCTGGAAGGATTAGGGTGGGAGGTCTTACCCCACCCACCGTATTCACCCGATCTGGCACCTTCAGATTATCATCTGTTCCGCTCGCTCCGCAATCATCTGGTTCAAAAACGTTTCGACGATAAGGTGCAGCTAAAATCGGACCTCGAAACGTTTTTTTCGTCTTTGTCCAATAAGTTCTTTGAAGATGGCACTCTAGATTTGCCTAAAAGATGGGAATATGTCATAGACAATAACGGCGTATATGTTGTCGATTGATGATATTTTGTTTCAATAAAATCTTGAAACATTGAAAAGAAAAAAAATCGGCGGAGACTTTTGCCTCAACCCGACAGTAAATAAAAATAAATAGCATATGACAATAATTGATATAAATATTAAATGCATTAATTTAAGAAATCATAAATGTTGATATTCATGTACGTAATGATTTACTGTTGTAAAACAAGAATAAATTTCAGAAGATACATTATGAGTTATAGATGTTTGATTGTATTATGTATTATCAAGATGAAGTTCTGATGCTCTAACATATAGATTATTGAAAAATAAAGCATCTGCTTCAACATAAAATAGAACGACCATAAGTTTTGGATCCGTTGTTTTTTGTGAGTAATGTGTAATTTCGAGAAAATGAAATAAAGAACTGCTGTAAAAGTCATTTTATTGTTTTACTTGAAACAATACAAGTAACAGATACAGAAAGCAAAAATTGCGAGCTTTCGACCTTATATTTCGGTGATCATCAGACAAATAATTCGTCGTTTTTTTATAATTGTTTCTATAGTTTTGTTTCTCCTTGTTCATTTCGTCAATTTTAACATAAGCTCTTGTGTTAAAATAGACGAAAAGAACAGGGTGTGGGTGTGATCTTCTCTTGAGCACAATCCCATGCATATACTCACCCCACACCTATACCCTCCTGTGTAACTGCGGAAAGATCTTTTTTTCAGTTTCGTAAAAAATCTTTTTTTTTAGAGTGTAAAGATTCGAAATATTTTCAGGATATTGAACATTCTTAGGCCCTATAGAATACACATATAGAGTTGAAGAGAACTATTTTGTGTTGATCTGAAGTAAAATATGAATATGTAACAAGTTGGTTTTTGTCAAATAGTATTAGCATAATAATGCATCAGATGAGTTTGAGAACAATCAAATGTAAGAAGTCACAAACAATGATGCAACTTCTCAAACTTCGAAAATACCAGTCTGACTGGAAACACGTCAACGTCAGATTACCATGAAAAAGAAATAGCATCAACAGTTTACACATTGCATTAGCGAATGCCACAAAAAATAAATTGGTATGCTGAATCTATTGATGAATAACGTCAAAATGATACAAAAATGAGAATTATATGTTTTCGTAAAAGTCGTTTGTACTGATCATACAAATTTCTTCCTTTTACTCTTGTGCACAGTGAACTGGCATGTGTCGCGCATGAAATTCCACCAAAACTTGTCGAGGTGGTTGTATGGACGTTTTTAGAGCAAAAAGAGAAAAAACTGATCTCTATGTATTACATCCATTTTCTGTCGGGTATCGATAGTTTAAACATTGAGTGAATACGAATAATTAGTGGTAAAGTTCAGTAAAATTACATTTTTGCACTTTTACTACATAGATGCTTCTTGGCTTCCTGAGATGAATGAAATTATTGATTGACTGTATTAGATCCACTTTAAATCTTCTGAAGATCATTCGTTTGGTTTTTTGATTGCCATTGAATTTCTATGCGCACATTAATTGAAATCATATCCATGTTATCTTTGGTGTGAGTGTGACTGAAAAAGAGGAACAATAACATCCATACCTATACACCTACAACCACGAAAGATAAATGGCATTGTACAATCCAAGAAATGAACCAATTTGTAGTCTTATCTGTCCCATCCGTCCTTTAAAACTCAAAGAAAATGTCAGATTTAAACCAGATTACTTTTGGTTATTGTGTTCATTTTCGCTGCTTTATATAAACCAAAAATTCTCGTTATAAGCAATATTTTGATTTGGATCACAATGTTTGTATATGGATCGTTCTCAACAAGATAGCACAGTCATTAGTATTTGTTTATACAGTTGTAAATATTGAAGGAACGAGGGTTAAGCCTTGAAATTGGTCCATTTTTCCATTAGATTGGTTCAACCCAATTAACATTTGCACCATTAAAATAATGCATCTTTTACTAAAAGGATTTCTATCCGATGAAATGCTATACTAATTAAAATGATTTAGTAGAACATTCTAGAAAGTTCTTTCTCATACGAATCACCACTTATTTAACATAAGACAACTTGAATACTTGTAAAAAGCCAGCATCAAGAATAAGGGTATTGGCGTCGGGTGTCGGTGAGTGTCGCTGTTAGTCTTTTTTCACTGACAAGCGATTCACATTCATCCACACCTGTTCCCACACACATTCTCTTGGACATGTGATACTGCTGTTTACATAAAGTTGATGAAGAAGAGTAATTTCAAGTAGCTTGGAATACTGTCGATTAAAATAAATAAATTAAAATAATTGTCTAGGGTTTGCTATAGATATTGATTTCATTTGAATTTTGTATTCAAGTATTTCTAAACGTCACACGACACGTCAAGGTCCAAATAAAGATTCATCTTGGTTGGGTATGGGGTGCAGGTGTCTGTGAAGAGGAGATGAACCACATCCACACCCACAGGCACTAATTGTTTTAGATAATTTAAAACATCTTTTTTTAGAGCGTATATTGAGCTTTGATAACCTATAATGCGTAGATGTTTTATTTTTTCTTAATTATTGTATTTATTTAAAAAGAAAAACACACGTTGAAAAAACTAATGTTAAAACATGCATAATGTTTTTTTCTAAATAAGTGTTGACAAATTCACTGATGCCGTTCAATTCGAAGTACGTTGGCTCAGCCGGACACGCCTAAAACCTAAATATTCAAGGTTCTTTTTTCTTTTACTGAATGATTGACTTCGCCATGATAACTCATAAAAATATGAGATTTTTATATTTGATCAGCACTTTATTTTCTGGCCAGGGACCACACAGCAAAATGTTCTTTCACACATTTCTAATCTCGTAGTAAAATGGATAAAAATTCTGGTTTATTGCTGAATAACATCTTTCATTATTCAGCACAATATTAGCCACTGATTCAGATGATGTATTCTACACAGTGGTGTTCAGCTAGAGTCATCGAAAAAGTAGCCATAATCAATCCCATTATAGCTTTGTCTATGTCTGCTTCTGAATTGATTCTAGCGGAATGCCACAGCTTCAGACATCCATTATCTTCGAAGTTTATGATCCACAATAGTCGATCGAGCTGTTTTTAAGATATATGGTAAGTTGAAAAAAAAATTCTGCTGATCTTACGAAAAAAGTCCACTAGGTAATCAATCGCTTTTTCGTAGAAACATGCATAACTATATGGAGTTCACTGTGCTGATTCCGAATATTAGAGTGTTAGTAACCCTTAGACCTTTCTGGATTCTGTATCATAACTGTGAGCTTCCTTCTGATAAGCATGTTTCTCATCAAATTCAATCTTTTAATCAGTCAAATATATACTACTAGACAAAATATCCACAGGAGTACTTTCTTATAGACGTTTCAACCTTAAGTTTCAAATACTAAGCTATAAACTAGTGAAATAATTCGTATATTGACCAAAAATAGTCAACTGACATTTCTTCTTATCTAATCATCATATATTCATAAATTAATCATAACTGTACTGTATTCAGCAAAGTATATAACAATGCAAAAAATAGAAAACATGTATGCTAATTTCTCAAAATATAAAACATTGGCACTGCGAGGACATATTTTCAAAAAAAAAGCGATAAATTGAGCGAGATTCTATAGTGCAATACAAAAGATACAATTATTTCTTTATCTTTTCGTTATGCGAAACATATTAAACCCAAATAGGCACTTTTGCATATTTAGTTTTTGTCTGCCTTACGATCCATTTTAGCATTTGAAACTTGAGGTTGAAGGGTCTATTAAAAAAGTGGGTGTGGGTGGGTTTGGATCTCTTCTTGAATCATACTCACACCCACACACCTTCATGTCAAAAGGCCTTTATTTTCTGATTGTGTCGCAAAGATCTAAAGTCCTCTCCATCCCATACTACCGAGAAAATAATGCTATTTTGTGAGAGTGCTCATTGGGTCCAACTTTTGGTTGCATTTCTAAGTAGCACCAAGTTAGTATTCTTTGGAAAAAAGCTTCACAAACTTGTATCACTCTGACATGAAGGAAGCCTATCGTGACGATAGACTGTGCTTGAGACTAATCGATAAGGACGATGAAGAGAGGAATACTCAACTAAAAATGTTTACTATTTTTGATATATCCTCCGAATTTACGACTCTAAAACTATATATTTATAGTCCTGTTGGTAAAGTTTGGGTGCACTAAGCTAAACACATCAAATTACTATGACTTTGGCAGTAGACGCCATAACTGTAGAGTTGGGTAGTCGTAA